CAGAAACTGCTGCACATTTGGAGGGACGCAGATTCCCAGACGATCGTCAACATCAGCTCATGTGAATTGAGTTTTCTGTTCATGGTCTTCTTACCGAAGAGCAAGCGTACTGCTGCAGGTCCACACTACAGGGGGCGCTCACGAGTCCAGCGGACAGGAGAGTCTCGTTACTGTGGGGCACATCAGAATTTCATGAGCACTTCCTGTCTCACAGATGATGTCACAGTCAAAGTGGAGAAAAGAGTGTTTGCTCGTACCTGTTGACTCCTGAACAAACTCTGGTAGCTGTTAAATCCATCAGAAAACATTGATTAGTGCTACTGGATTTCATTTACATCTCAGTACAACACCCGTAAATCACAATGCAATAGTCAAGCAGGTTAAGAGAAAGTAACAGATGTAGAAAATTGACCAACAAAACTTGTTCAGATTTGTGGACAGATTCTTTCTATTTCTTGTTGGCTACATGGTTAGAGGAAGTCATTGGCAAATTCCCAGGTCTTATGATCCCCAGATTTATATAGCAACGTTTATAATTGAGTCTGAGGTAAACTAGGAAGATATGGTTAATTTGGGGGAACATTAAAGCTTGGAAACATAGGAGGGAATGAAGATTCAGTTCATTGCAACATTCAAGGCTCCATTAGACACACTGATTAGTTTAATTTCAGAAACTAACATGTTCTACAAAAGCACTTACCATTCACAGGAGTGACCAGACACTGAAACAGATGAAAAAGAGAGAACAAAGTCAATGACAAAATGGAAAAAAAAACTCAAAACACAAATTGCTTTAAACATTTTTTATGAAAAAGTTTTAAACAGTGAGGAACTGTGTGGGACAGAACAAGACGGAGACGGAACTGATGCTAAAAATAAATTCTTACTGTTGGAGGTTCAGGAAGTGAGCAGTCTGAAAATAAGACAAACATTAATTCGTTAATTCCAGCAGAAGTAATGAGAAACATGCTAATCTTCTAGAGGAGTCGACAGTGATAGATGAGGAAGATCAAGAATGACCTCTTGCTCCATTCTGCTTGAGTTCTCCAGTTGTGTGGAAGACCACAGTCTCCATCTCTGTCGGCAGGGAAGGTAAAGCCTGAAACAGCCTCTGGAATCTGAGAAAGAACCACAGAATTACAGCAGATCTCAGTGCAAGAGACGCCAAAGACTCAATATAGTGTACCAAATACAATTACATCAGTATGTAGGAGCTGCACGGAATAATGGTCTGTAGAAACACAAACAAGCTTCAGTGCTGTTGTCACACATATGATTCATCAAACTCACTTATTTGACCACTACATATTTACTTAAAATCTCATTTAATACAATCCACATGTAAAGACGAAACCCTGAGGCATCAGAGTAGCGTTTGATGGAGAGACATTGAGAACAACTGTGTATATTTTACCATCCGTGAGATTGAGAGAAGGTTTTGAAGAACATCAGGAAGTCCTCGCTCCACAGGAGACACAAGCAGATGATCAAACACTGTATTGATGACGACTTCCTGCTCTGGAAGACCAGGTAGATCGTCAACCATCAGTCCAGCCACCTGCTTTGGAGTGAGATCGTCCAGGGTCTCCAACTAAACCCACAGAGAAGAACAAGAGAATTAAAGTGAAGGGTAAGGAGACGTTGGTGTTATTTTTATAAATCTTCTTTGATGAAATCACATGGGAAGATGTGGAGACATACGGGATCGAAGAGTCTGTTGATGGGGAGCAGATCTTTGAGAGACACATACTGAGAGAACGGGCCAAAGTTCTTCTGCAGCCACTCAACACTGTTGTTAGCAGTCGTCACACAGCCCGCATCTGACACACACAACAGACACAGTCAAATCACCTTCATGAACTCCAGAACCTTCATTTGAAACATCTGTGAACCTCCACCTCACCTGTTGTGTTTCTTCTGAGGAAGGGCAGGATGAAGAAGCTCACCATGTTTCTTCCTTGAGACTGATTGACGAGTGTGACCTCTGACAGACTGAGAAATGGTTGAAAATAATGTTGAACAAGCATCTTATCAGCTCATGACAGTCTTTAGCTATTGTTGAGGACATCTTTTCTTACATGTGCTGGTAAGTTTGGCAGCTGAGGTTTTTGCTGCTAGTGCACTGCAGTAGGGATGATGACGCAAACGGTAAAAATGGCTTCAGATATTGACCCAACAACTTGCTGATGAAAGGGAGGTCTCTCCATTGGTCAGGACTGATGCGCTCCAGTCTCAACTCTGCAATCACATCCAGCACTTGGGACACGACTTCACCTCTGATTGGCTGAGACTGATGATGTAATGGGGAGGAATTACTGTCAGATTCCCAGTCAATCTAACACTGAACACTAGAGGACAGATGTACAAGACTCATTTACCATATTTGCTGCTGCACTGGAGAAGATGACGAGGGCTCCGTCCAGAACATCATTTGCTTTGGTGAAAAGCAGTTTCCAGATCTCCTTGGAGTAACTGCTGCTGCTGGATAGTTGACACATCAGGAGTCCAGCCAGGTTTCCAGCAGTGAAGCCTGTGATCTACAAACACAGAAGATTTCATCAGTGGACATCAACGTTCAGGAAATATTATGCTGATTCCAGAAACTGCTGCACATTTGGAGGGACGCAGATTCCCAGACGATCATTAACATCAGCTCATGTGAACTGAGTTTTCTGTTCATGGTCTTCTTACCGAAGAGCAAGCGTACTGCTGCAGGTCCACACTACAGGGGGCGCTCACAAGTCCAGCGGACAGGAGAGTCTCGTTACTTAGGGGCAGATAAACTCTTCTCATTATTTTTATATACTTTGAATTGTATTTTTACTCAGTAAAAATTCCAAAAAAGAACAGTACCTGCTGATTCCATTACAAATAGAGGATTCTGTAAAAGTAAATTAAAAGGAAAATAAGAAAAACAGACAGCACATTTTTTTTATTGACAGTGCATTTTTGTTTATGGTACTGTACAGCTTAAACAATGTTAAACTTACCATTGATTGATGTTGAAATACACTGCAAAGTACATGACCATAAATCAATAATAGAATGTGAAGTACTTTTCTTTTATGTTTATGAAAATATCAACCCATGAGATTAAAACTTGTGTTTCTTACCGTAACAGGTGGAGGAAAACAGCCTGTTAAAGACACAATAGTAAAATCTCAGAGTTACAGCATAGAAAAATGTGTCAATCAAAACTGTAGCTTAGAGACTAAATTTGCTGACTAAGAAGATATTTAGTTAATCTGCCATAATTTTAACTTGTTTTGTTTGTGTGCATGTATCTGTACCAGGAGGTGCCATCTGTTCCAGCTGACTCATGTAGTCCTTGATGTGTTGCATTATGTGTGGAGGAACCACAGATCCCTGCAGCCTCTGAACCCTGAAAGAGAGAGAAATCATGTGAAACTGGGCCTCGACCGAAGCAGTGCAGAAATAGTAAAAGAAACAGTGTAATATAAAATGTTTTACTTACATCTGCTGGTATGACGAGCACTCCAAACCCATCTGACATAAAAAACAAAATAAGGGAAAAAAAATCACCTTACTCCAAAGCAATTATACGTCTTGCCATATGTCCACAGACAGACAGTCTTTGGCATAGATGCTCTTACCTGGCCAGCGAGCATGATGAGATATCCAAGCATCTCAACTAGACCACGGTCTTCAGGAGAAACCAGGATATGATCAAAAACTATGTTTATGATGATACTTTTCACTGGCAGACCTGCAAAATCCTCAACTATGAGTTCAGCTGTCTGTCTGGGGGAGAGAACCACCAATGCATCTATCTGAAATACACAAAGAAACATTTCATTTAACAGACAAACAGAAATCTAATTATCAATCACATTAAACAGAGAATATAGCTGAATCTTTGTTTTAGAAACAGAATAAAACAAGCTGAAGTGCAGCAGATGTTCTTGTCAGTGGGAATGTGGGTAACTCACAGCGCTGAAGTCTTGGTTCAGCTGGTACATTTCCCTCAGTGTTGCAAACTTTGAAAATCCACCAAGATTCAGAGTAACCCAGATGCTGCTGTTCTCCGCAGGGCAGCCACCTGAAAACATGTTGATAAAATATATTTATAGATGGATGGATGGATGGATGAATGTATGGATGGATAAACAGATAGATGGATAGATGTACCTGAAACATTTTGTAGGCTCAGGAAGGATCTGATGAAATACTGATAAACATCCTGCACACCTTGTTCTGACATCAGGAGCATGTTGTCGCTGAGTTCTGAAACACTGAAAGGACAGCATGTAGGTCAGGTGAGAGTGGAGGTCAGCTGAGAACAGAGTTCATCAGGTGGGATTAGCACTTATGCGTTCAGTGGGCATACAGTATCTGGAAGGTCTGGCAGCTGAACTCTTTGTGACTGAGGCACGTGAGATATTCTGGAGTCAGTGTGGAGAGAAGAGGCTTTAACTTGATCTGGAACCATAATCTTACAAACGACTCATCCTGCAAGTTGCTCATCGTGAAGGTGTCATGAACCATTTGGTCCAGGATGTCACTGAAGGGGGAACTCTGGGAACTGAAGTTCTGGGCAAGAAACAACATGCAAACAGGAATTATATAAACTACTGGTTTCTACACAGCTGATGTGAGATCTGGCATTTCTTACAGTCATGGAGAGCTGCTGCAGCAGAGCGTTGAGATTCTGGGAGAGATGCAGGACGACATTCGAGAGCATCTCCTCATTGAGCGTGAGGTTTGAGCGTGCTGCGCAGTGCAGGACTGTGGCCACATGTTCCACCAGGTCCGTCAGCTAGAAAGACATAAACACTGTGTGAGATATGAAATGAAATCCTAATGCCATGCCAGCAGAGAAGATGCTTGGAATAATGTGTATGTATGTTCCCAGCCTGCGTTTAGCTTACCCCACACGTTCTATTATCAATAAAGACACTGCAGATGTCCTGACTTTCATTCTGGGCTCCAGTTCCCATTCCCGTCTCAATGTAGCTAAAGAGTAAACACCCCAAACCACATCAGAGCGTTCTCAGTACTCCATCAGAGGAAGTTTCTGGATAACTATGACATTACTAGCGCAGCAAACTCACAACTGGTTATGGAAGACAGCCGTGAGGTTTGGGTGGATTTCTATCTGGCCGGGAGGAAGAAATCGCCGGAGTATGGGAGAAACCACATGCGTGAACCAGTCATTAATGTTCATGGGGTCAAATGTGACCAGCTGCTGGCTGGAATTCTGCTTGAACGGAGCGGCGAGCTCGGCGAGTGTCAGGTTGATCATGGCCTGCACCAGTGTGGTGCTCCGCATGCTGCTCAAGTTTTGCTAAAGGAAGCAAGCAAATAGACAGCAGAAATTAGGAGATGAGGTTTGGGGTTGTAATGCCTTACTGAATGTGTGTTTGTGCTGTTACCGGCTTCGTCAAGGACACAAACTGTCTAACAAAACTCCCGACAGGACTAAATGCCGTCATTAATCCATTCAGTGCCTGAAACCACACATCAGACCAGTTTATCATTCAATATCACAGTCTCTTAAACATCTACTTATTTACTCATCTACATCAGGGCTGGGCAACCATGGCCCTCAAGATACACCTTCTTGCAGAGTTCAGCTTCACCAATAATCAAACAAAACCATCTATAACTTTCTAGTAATCCTGGAGATCTTGGCTAGTTTGTTCCAGTAGGTTTGATTAAGGTTGGAGCTGAAATCGGCAGGAAAGTGGTTCTTGAGATCAAAACTTGCCCAGTTATGATTTACATCCAGATACTGTGACTGGTATGATTCTTGCCTGTCCAAGAGGGTCCTGAGGTGAGGCAGATGGAACGGTGCTCATATAATATGCTGTGCCATTGTTGGAAGGCCATGGGTCCTCAGAGGGCAACAGAGAGGAAAGCAAACTCTGAAACACCAGGCCGAGGGAGCTGTTCGTCAAGCCCACCACCTCGGGATGAAGGAGAAGCTCTGCCTTCTGTTCTGGACTCAAGAGGTGCAAAACCTCCAGCTGACAAGACAGGGAAGAACCTCAGAAAATCTCCAGGACATCAGCACAGAGCTGAGGTTGCCATCGAATGACCATCAGGATAACATCAGATGCGAGAGTGAGTATTCCTACCCCGCTGAAGAGCATGTTGATGGATGTGAAGTCTCGCACTTGAGCCATGACCGAGAATGAGCCGAAGTTCTTCATGAGCCAGTCCTCAGTGCTGTCCTCTGGATCTACACAACCTACAACAACACACAATCAGACTACACAAACCTGCACAAAACCCTCACAGAACACAAAACGCCAGTGCAAGAGGTGAAGTGTTACCTGAGGATGTGTTTCTAGAGAGAAACGGGTACATGAAGAAAGCATAGATCCACTTCTGTCGCACTGGATCCAGACCGGAGAAATGCTGACTCAACTCCTTCACACTATACACACAACAAAGCACACACAGTCAAACACACACATACACAATGAGGTCCTCATTCATTTTCTGCTTTTAGTGTGTGTTGTCATACACAGTATGGTAGGCACTGCAGCTGAAGTTTCTGTTGCTGAGGCATGTGAGGAAGTTTCTGGAGATGGACGACAGCAGAGGAGTGAGTTTGATGTCCAGCCACGCTCTGATCATGTGATCCTCATTCATACTGATGCCTCCCGACAAATCCACGACCGGCACGCCGGCCACACTGGAGCGCTGCGAGACAGACAGCGTCATGGTGGAGCCACAGCAGTGAAGGCTCATGGGATATATGTGTGTCTGTGTGAGTGCTGGTGTACCATGAAGGAATAGATGTCCAGAGTGGCGCTGATGAGTCCCTTCAGGTTCAGGATGTGGTCTGCATCAGGCTCTGATGAGACGCCTGCACACGTCAGGAAGCTCTGCGTGGGACCGTCCAACTGAGACAGCAATAAATACAGCACAGATTGAGAATGAGAGTTTACGGCATTAAATGTGGGTTCGAGTCCCATTCGAAGGAAGTCTGTTCACTCTGCGACCATACTTGCAATGCCTCCGGGCATCTATATCAGACACCAAGTCCTTTTTAACTTGAATGGAGAAATCCTGAAATCTCAAAAACTTCTTGCCCCAGTTATGTTTAACTTATTAACATAATTAACAACTTGGCATATTTCAAACCAGCAACAAATACCCAAACAGCATTAAAAAAGCTTATATTTCAGGTTGGAGTTTGGGTTCCTTGCCACTGTCACCTCTGGCTTTTAAAAGATACTTAATATTTAGTCATGTTATTGATTTAACTGCACTGACGCTATCAGATGAGAAGAGAACTGAATTGATCTGAATAAAGACACCATTCCATTTTGTAGAGCTGCTTTTTATTATATAAAGTGCTATATAAATAAATGTGACTTGACTTGATTTTGGATTTTTCCTCTATACTACTGTTCAGAGTTCAACAGAATCCATAATTCCCATGTTTTGTATGTTATCTGAACTGCAGGAGCTGCTCTAGAAGTCTATAAGTAACATGCTCCATAGGCTTTCTCTAGTGACTGATGGCAGTGGAGGGGTTTCATTGTGTCTATGATCTTGTTTTTGTCTAGGTTACTTTTATTTAGAAAGAGTGGTCATGTTCCCTTTGGTTTCACGTTTCTGTCTGGAGGATTGTTGTCTAATCAGCCTGTTTGCGTCTGTCTCCAGTGTTGTTCTGCTATTGTCTTGTTAATGGTTTTGGTTAGTCATTGTATCACCTCTGAGAACTCTGTCATTTTATTCATTTTAATGCTAAAAAAGGCATTAGGTTTCTTTATATCACATCGCTCATCTTGCATTATTGTTTAGTTCATAGTGAGTGCGTCTGTTTAGCTCTGCTGTCCCAAACAGACAAAACTCTCCAACAAAGAACAGTCTAAAAATATCTTGTGTGTGTGTGTGTGTGTGTGTGTGTGTGTGTGTGTGTGCTCCTTCCGTTTCCACTATACTCCTTCCGTTTCCACTATACTCCTTCCGTTTCCACTATACGCCTTCCGTTTCCACTATACTCCTTCCGTTTCCACTATACGCCTTCCGTTTCCACTATACTCCTTCCGTTTCCACTATACGCCTTCCGTTTCCACTATACGCCTTCCGTTTCCACTATACTCCTTCCGTTTCCACTATACTCCTTCCGTTTCCACTATACTCTCTCTCACACATACATACATTCTTCTCTTACATACACATATTTTCTTCAGACATACATACATTCTATATATATATGTATGTGAAAGGAGAATGTATGTATGTGAAAGCAAAGAATATATGTATGTGAAAGGAGAATGTAAGTGTGTGAAAGCAAAGAATATATGTATGTGAAAGGAGAATATATGTATGTGAAAGGAGAATATATGTATGTGAAAGGAGAATGTAAGTGTGTGAGAGTGCTAGAATGAATTATGGCTTGTACGGCCCCTCATATATGTGTGTGTGTGAACTCACATCAGTGCATTGTTCTGCTGTAAGTTCAGCACTCGTTCCACAGGTTTGACTGTAAATCATGAAATGAGACGAGATTAATGTGGGCAGAGGGAGGAGATGGAGCAGAATGGAAAGTGAGCGATAGGTCATGGTGAATGAAAGTCAGAAATGTTAAGTCATTTCACAACAACAACATAAAACACAAGAAAGACTGCATTCTGGATGGGTCATTTTGTCTCAAAAGTTTCTATAGGTTACATAATGGAAAGATCTGAAGTGTTTCACCCACCTCTGCACCGCTGAACACATAATGCCTGAAAACAGAGAGAGACAGAGAGTCATATCTTACATCTGTCATAATGTACACTTAGCTGGACATTATGGCAAAATAAACTCTGACAGAGTGCCTGCATTTAATCTGTGTATCTGTGCATTTAATCACATATATTAATCAGAGTCTGTAAGATTTAATTCTGTGAGCAGGACAGTCAGACATGAAACTAGCACAGCTATGGAGGAAAACACTTGAGCGAGAAAATTATAAACGCCATTATTGACAAGTATTTGAAAGACACCACTGACCAATCAGGTACTCCAGAGTATGAAATAAGAGTATTTAAATATAATAACCATCCTGTGCATTTTCTCAGACACTCATAACATGGACATAAAGCACCTGTTTGTTGATTAGTGTGCTGTTTTTCATTAATGAGTTTAAATACAAGTGATAATTGTGGACTCACCAAAACCCATCGCTCCCACATACAGGAGCAGGAAAATTAGAGGCGTTCTCATGAGGACTGATCTGCTTCCCTTAGACACTCCTGTGAAGTTCAGCTCTTAGAGAAACAGACACAACGCCAGGTCAATGGAATGCTTATTTCTCAGATGATTGTTAAATTGAATGACTGAGAACAGAAGTTTCATTAGTCTCAAGCTTTCAGCTTGTTATGCCATACAGTACAAGAAAGATTTTACAGCTGCTTGAAGAAGGGATAAAAACAACCCTGAACTGACACACACACACACACACACACACACACACATGCATGAATGCTTTTTATATTTTGAAAGTATTTCAAATAAAATATATATATATATCAATATTTCAGTAAGTTTCTTCTGCTCACCAAGGCTACATTTCTTTGTTTAAAAATAAATAAATAATTGTCAACATTCAGAAATTATAAAAATCAGCATATTAGAATGATTTCTGAAGATCATGTGACACTGAAGACTGGAGTAATGATGCTGAAAATACAGCATAATATAATATAATATAATATAATATAATATAATATAATATAATATAATATAAAGCATGGGAACTCAAAGAGCATTTGTATGATCGTAGTTCAGCTGTTAATATGAATTAAGCCAGAAGTCAAAGGCCGCTTGAATGTGTCAGGTGTTATCTGTGGGCAGTGTGGCATCATGTGTTGGATTACAAACACAGAACAGCAGCACATTCTCACACACATCTCTGTCGTTCCACACTGAACACAACAGAGCCACAGCTGGTTAAACCAGGCGAGTGAGGAGATCACCGAAGAGGTTTAACACATTCACTCACTCTTTAAGACAAATGTCATCCCATAAAACAGAACAATCAAACACAAAAATGATGGCATTCCGCCTCTCATATGCTCATGATTGACTTCTGAAACATGAAGTGCAAATAAGTGTCTGAGTGCATTGGGAAGGAAGGAAATCATGACGATGATATGAAATGAAAAATTATATAGGCCTACTATATCCTATATTTCTTTTTTAAGCCATTCCTACAACTATATCAGTCTCAAAAACGGACTAGTACACAAAGTAAGTTAATTAAGTAATAACAGATTTGATTTGATTTGATGGAAATACATGATTTTATTAAAAAAACTTCAGATGCTGGAAAAATATTGTACCACATTTTTAACGTGGTATCATATACTGTAAAAAAACTATAAGCCAACCAGATGACATGAGGATAAATCACATCCATATATTCTGGGATATAAACTATGTGACTGAATTGAGAGTGACATGAACACAAAAGGATTTTCAGCAATGTACTTTAGCAATATTAAACGATATCTAGAAATCACTTCTGAGACGTCTCGGTCACGTCTCAATTCTCCGGATACAAGATCTAAATCACGATCGGCTCATGATGGAAAAATCTGCTAATGTTTGACTTAATCTTTCCAAGGCTAAACTCGCACATGATTTTCAACCAAAATCTGTGAACATCATACAAAAAATAGCAAATCATATGAAACGTTGGTAACACTAGTTACTCTACTTTAGTAAAGTACTTTAAATCACATGAACTCACATTAAAAAATACTTAAATCAGTTAATGCTAATCACTGTTACTGTTAATTTCAATATTTACTTATACATTTATAAAATCAAAGGTTGTATCTTAATGTTGTTTAATGGACCCGAGCTAACAAGAACTAACGAGTAGCTGTGTTTTTATTAACTAATGTTAACAAAGATGAATACATTCTGTAAGAAATGAATTGCTCATTGAATGCATAATCTTGTGTTTATGCATTCATAAAAATGTTTGTGGTCATTAAGCTCATCTCATAACCAATCTAATAACTTTACATCACTCTCATCTAAGACATCAGATATGATTTGATTTAAAAAATAGAGATCAGGGTAACACTTTATAATAACTTTCATTAATAAATCATTAACAAAAAATATATAATGCTTAATGGATCGTTAGTTAATATATATTCAAAGAGTTAAAAATGTGAAATAATGTGCTTGTTAATGTTTGCTAATAAACTTATTAAACATTAGATCATGTTCAAACAAATCATTATTTCATGTTAAAGTTAAAATGCTTGCAAATGTCACTAAACCTTCAATTCCATATGATCAAGCACTTTCATCCAAATGATTTTAACAGATGAAAAGCTTGAGTTAATGCACAACACTTTAGCTGCTGGTGAGGTGTGATACAGGTAAGTTTAGGGACTGGTTTGGGTAGGTTTAAGGGCTGGTTAAAGGGTCAACAGTGTACAGGGGTCAGTTTGATTACTATAAGAACACGGTTCAATCTGTTTATATTATATGCTTTATAAATGAACAAGCATTTTCTTTTAAAAAGTGATTTATTTTCTCCTGTTTATTTATAATTCAAGGAATATCCTGTTTAATGTTACACTGAATGTGAGTGTTGAGGTAATAAAAACATTTTTTTTGCAACAGTAGCTAAAAGTCCAATGCCCATAAAGATCCTGAATGATTAGTAATTGCGTATATAAACATTTACAAATGATGAAAAGTTTCAACTTTAGATTGGCTACTGCAAAAACATGAACAAATGATTAATAAATGATTAGTAAAGATGTGTGAATGGGGTAATTTCGGGTCTTTCAGGACACTTTTTGCCATCGAGATGACTGCTCATAAAGGTATTAATGATTAGTAACATTTATAAACATTTGCAAATGATGAAGAGTTTCCACTTTAGATTGGGTACTGCAAAAAACATGAACAGATAATGAATAGGTTATTTGTTAAGCTGTGTAAATAGAGGTCTATACACAACAAACAAATACCGACAAATGAAGATCATATGAACTGAAAGTTTTCTGGTGAAACATCAGCCTTAGTGCGGTAAACCTCAGAACACTCTTTACATAACGAGCAATCACTGAGCTTACCTGTCAGGTGTGTTTGTCATGAAGAAGTGAACGGAGTAAATCTGTGCTGTATACTGCCATTCACCGGACTCCACCCACAGCACAGAGAAACAGACGATCAGCAGCTCACATATAAAGACAGCACGAGCTACAGTTACTGGGCATCGGGAGGCTTCGGTCTGGATCTCAAAAGCCTCGGAGGGATTTTTATGCAATAAAGTCACGATGTGCTCAATTAAATCTAGCCATTAAAACTTGGATTAAATTATACAACTCCATAATAAAACCAATACTTTTATATGGATGTGAAATTTGGGGACCAGTACTACATTTAAAAAAATTGGGATCAAACTTCAATAGAAAAACTACAACTAGAAATCGTCAAAAACATTTTAGGGGTCCACAGAAGCACGTCCAATGATGCCTGCAGAGCTGAATTCGGCTTCTACCCACTGAAGACTGAGATCCAGAAGAGATGTGTTCAGTTCCATCAGTCTGATATAATCCTCGAAACACGCTCGCTCTTCAACAGGTGCATCAAAGCCAGCTCCTCACTGACTACAGCGGCAGCCCCACAGACATTATTAAAGAAACTGACAAGAATCTAAAGAAAAACACTCATGATGAATCACTAAAAACACACTTTGACCTTCGAAATAAACTCTAATGTTACTAAACCCTACACAGAACAATTATTTATTGATTAAACCATTTAAAGAAAGACAAATCCTCTGCAAACACAGATGAAGCAAGCATGATTTAGAAATAGAGAGAGGAAGACAGAGACACACATGGACCGAGCAAGAGCAGAGGATCTGTAGACACTGTGATCTGATTTCTGCTAAATATCTCAAGGTGAGGGGAACATTTCTCCCCAGGTTTGAAGCCCTGACTCCATCGTTTACTGAGAAAATGCCCTTCTCACTTGGAGAAGATGACAACACAGCTGCTCTATAGCTGCTAAATTTGTATTAACCTTTCACAATGCTAGGTGTTAAATACGATTAACTCTGAACTAACTCACTTTATCTTTTCATCTATTTAGATGGATTTTATTTATTATCTACAGTATGTTGTTGTTTTTTATTATAGTTTATTTTTATTAGATATATATATGTATATGCTAATGCTTTGGCAACATTGTGTTACACAGTCATGCTGATAAAACTTAACTGAATTGCGAGAGAGAGAGAGAGAGAGAGACAGAGAAACACACACAGAGAGAGAGAGAGAGAGAGAGAGAGAGAGAGAGAGAGAGAAACACACAGAGAGAGAGAGAGAGAAACACACACACAGAGAGAGAGAGAGAGAGAGATTGAAGTCACCTTTATTTACAACACATAGATAATACCATACTGTGTTACTGCTGAGATCCACATTTCACAATCTTCAGTCTCAATTACAAAGGATCAATTCATAATAATAAATAATAATAATAACAACAACAATAAAAATAACAAAAATACAAAAACCAACAACAGAAAAAACAACAAAATATCTTAGAAAGCCAACAGCAAATCATCATTTTGATTGACAACACATAACACTGCAAGTATTCACTAACACTGGCTAGTATAGCAACACTAAGTGAACGGTCAGGGAGGTTCGCAGGGAACGCCAGGTCTAAAAAGTAAACTACAGCAATAAACATCAATACCAGAAGTGAGGAAACAGGGCAAAGCACAGGGCTTAACAGGTGAGGGCATATATATATATATATATATATATATTAATATTCGTGAATTCACAAGATAACAATAATTAACAACAGAACAAGTAGCACCTCTGAGTCACAAAAGAAAATGGAATTGTAATTGAAGGAATTGAGAAACAGCAAGGCAGAATATGTGAGAGGACGTCCTGAAATGAGGAAGTATTTCACTAAATCCTGCGTCTTATTTATTAACCACTCGCAGGCCAGTTTAACCAGCTACAGAAAGCCATGTGGAATGAAGCCGATGCTCTCAGCCCCTCGATGTTCTGTGAAACACACTCGTTTGCGTTGCAGCTTCACTCAAAAGTCTGCTGTAGAGATTCTATCACTGTCTGCACTACTGGAGATATTTGTGAACGCTTCTCTGTCTTTGAGTTAAACAGAAAAGACTCAAGTATTTACCTACTCAAATAGGGCATCGATTACACAAGTGATAAAGAAAGAAACTCATTCTATTGTAGCATCTGTCAGTGCGTTTTCTGCCTCAGAACAAACACAAAGATGCAGCTGATGTAAATGTAAATATGTGTATGCTTTTAATTCACATATGTATTGACATTTAAGGTTAACCTGGTCAAGAACATTGGTCTGGTTTCCCAGACAAAGCCTGCCATTGAAATGATGAGTCAAAATCTCATCTCTCTCTCTCTCTGTCTGTCACCGGAGAAGACACAGCTTCAGCTGAATTTCATTTGACTGCTATTTCCCTTGATATTTCTGCATGGGGCAGAATCTTTCATCTCAAGTGTGTTATGTTGCATTCAGGGTGTGCATTCATAGCTTTAGGCAAGTGCTCGAGTTATTTTCTCACAGTGTTTCCTGATTGGTGCGGGCCAACAGCGTTCTGGCACGCAATCTCAGGTTTTACCAAAGTGAAATATGATTTCAGGAATTTGGCCCGCATTTCACCTCATATTTACATGTCAGTCATGGTTGATAAAATAAGCTAGTGAGAGTTCTTGAGGATCTTACTTTATGGACTGCAGAAGAAAAAGAGGAAGATGCTGCAGACGCTCCGGAGGAATCACACAGACGACCTGGAAGGCAAAATCAGAACGAGAAGAGGAGTGACTGAAACAGAGATGACGATCCACAAATAAATGCCTGTACTGAGATATAATCTATATTTCATTATGCTGAATGGTTAGCCCAGATCAGCCAGTGGTGAAGCACACCGCTCAATGACTGAGCTACTGGGGGAGTCTTCTTTGACCGAGCTGAGCTCACACACAGAGAACGAGGAGGACTTGTGTGGACTTTATTTCTTTCTGTACTGGATTATTACTGTACATTAATCCACCTAAGAAGATGTCCCAACTTCAAATGGATGATTTGACCAACTTCACCGGCCGGACACACTTTGTTACTGAATAATCCATGTACGTGCTTTAACACACATTTCTTCATTATAATCTACTACAGACGCTCATCAACAGTTGACCCATTAATACTAGCACGTTCTATTTTTCTATTTATTTAAAAACACAGTGTTAGACTAACTGGGACTTGTCACAGCAGTGTTGGTTTAAGTGTAATGTAAGTGTGCTCTGACATGAGCATGAACATGTGGCGTCCTCTTCTGATTCTACAGAAGCACTGCAGCAGGAAGAGCTGAAGCAGAATCATGCATTATGCCTTAGTTTCTTTAGAGAAAGCACCACACACAGGCACGCATTCTTAGAAATCCTAACAGAAAGCAAATAAATTCTTTAAAAATCCTACAATGTGATTTTCTGGATTTTTTTCTCTCATTTTGTCTCTCATAGTTGAGGTATACCTATGATGAAAATTACAGGCCTCTCTCATCTTTTTAAGTGGGAGAACTTGCACAATTGGTGGCTGACTAAATACTTTTTTTTCCCCACTGTATATATATATATATATATAGTGCCTTGCGAAAGTATTTCTTTCGCATTTTTTTCACGTTTTGTTATGTTGCTGCCTTATGTTAGCTGAAGCACCTTAACAGCCTCCAGTATTTTTGGGTATGATGCGACAAGCTTTGCACATCAGCATTTGGCAATTATCTGTCCTTCTTCACCTCACCTGTTCACCTCTCAAGCTCTGTTAGGTTGGAGGGGGGCAGGTGCACATCTCAAGCTCAGGCTGTGGCTGGGCCACTCAAGGACATTCACAGAGTTGTCTGTAAGCCACTCTTGCTGTGTGCTTGGGGTCATTGTCCTGTTGGAAGGTGAACCTTCTGCCCAGTCTGAGGTTCTGAATGCTCTGGACTGGGTTTTCATTAAGGCCATCTCTATATTTTGGTGCATTTTTTTTGCCCTGAAATGCATTATCAGCTGTTAGACCTTTTATTAAGACGTGTGTGCCTTTCAAAATCATACCCATTCAATTGAATTTGCCACAGGTTCACTTCACTCGAAGTTTAGCAACATCTACAAGTGATATGAACGCTCTTGAACTAATTTTCAACTGTTCCAAATAAAGGGTATGAATACTAATGCAATGGAAACTTGGAATTTGCAAAGATGTTAAAAAAATGTTTGTTTTTTTGTTTGTTTTATTTGCTTTGTCATTATGGTGTATGGAGTGTAGGTTGATGTGGAAAAAAAGTAATTTAAAGCAGTTTAACATAAAGCAGCAACGTAAAATGTGAAAAAAATGAATACTTTCGCAAGGCGCTGTATTATAGGCTGTTGGTGTCTGGGCTTATTTATTTTTTAAATGACATGAGACTTTGTGACTTCCTGCACTTGCTATTCTTTATACTTCAGTACAGTAAAAGTGCTCACATTTGTTACAATAGTAATTTTATAACAAATGTTATAAAAGTGTTTATAAAAAAATTTATAATAAAATTTAAAAAAAGGTACAAACAGACAGACACACACACACACGCACACACACAGAGAGAGATCTGTGAGTGAAGATAGGTATTTTGGTAATTCACTCACATTTATCAGTCGTAAGATGCATGTAAATTTTTATTGAAAACAAAAATAATAATTTTACAGTAACAGTGAATGTGAAAATAATATTCTACTATTAAGGCTCAAAATAATTTGCTATTCTATCATATTAATTTAACAAAATTGTGATTTCCTTCATTTTTGTCAGAAAATGTGTAAATATTTTTATTAGACTAGACTTATGTTTTAAATAAGTTCACAGATTTTTTATACAATCATTACAAATTAAATTAAACATAACTTCAGAACAAATACGATTATAAAGACACAAGAGAGACACAAAAATCAACTAATATTAAGTACTGATATCAATCTAATATTGCTCTGATTCATTTCTGATGTTTCATTATTGATCCAATGGAGCACTTGTGTTACTCTAACTGATTTCTG